TGATAGTTCTTGATTACTTTTTGATAAATAATTCGTTCTTATTGCGAAATAGGAGCACAATTTATCAATCTGTAATAAAAGACGTGAGAAAATTCAGTCTTTTTTTAAGACAAAAATTTTTGAGGCGAAAAACCCAAAAAGAAGTTTGTAAAAAAATGAATCCGCCTCAACAATATAGAACTTATGTACAACTTAGGTAAACAACATTGTTTAACGCATTCAAAGCGCTTGTTGAAAATTGCAGTTTTTCCATAGAAAGCGGCATCAAACACAGCGAACGCGCATTGACAGCATCCGGTTGATTGGGCATGTTAAACAGAAAACCCGTTAAAAGAGCAAAATTGAGTTTTGGCCGTTGAAAAACATCGCTCGTAAACAACCAGCCCGTAAATTGGAAAATGGCCAGAGCTTTTCCAACTGCCCCATATTGCCTGCAGGGAAACGAACTTCTCCCCAATCGGCCTATTGAACAAATCTGGTGATCTTGGAGGTTTGGAGGACGTTCGCTAGATTAAGCAATACGCCCTGATTGAAAACCGGGGCTTTTATTGCTGTTAAATTGCAATTGACAGCAATATTTCCCCTAGGGGCCCCAAATGGCCGCAATTCCCCATTCACATTTTTCCCCGCATAATAAAAATCCCAACAACCACGTCGCCCACAACAGTGAAAAAGTCATGGCACAAAAGGGGGGCCCGGAGGCCGGCGCATTTCGCTCGCATATTTATTCAAATATTTGCCGACAATTTGAAAAACCTTTTAAAGATTATGTAACATTTTAAATGATTATCTTACATTAAAAATGCGCCAGGGAGGGCGGAGAAATGTGGGGACAAAAGGGGATGGTTGCGGGGAAACGCGCTTCCTTATTAATCTGCACGGAATGAAAATGCGCTGGCGAGTCCATCAGGAAATGGAATATTTGAGAGCTACAATTTGGAGTTTGCCATGCCGATGGCATTATTTTTCCTGTGGAACTGTTGAATTACTCATGGCAAGGATAAAATGGGCAGCGTTAGTAACAGACCTGCAACAAATAGGGCATAGAGGCATAGATAGATATCAAAGGAGAAGTTGATCAATGTAGACGTAAGTGAATTTTCACTGCTGTTAGTTACTAATGTTGCATAAACCAGCGAATAAACTCATCAAATGTGCTGTAGAGTGCGTCGTCAATGTGGGAATTGGTCGGGGCCCACACCAGTCACGTAAAATATAGAAAACATTTCGCCGGATGAAAATTAAATTGCTTTACTAGGAAAGAGAGAACGAGGATTAACTAATCCGGCGAACCTTTCGGAATTTTAAACAACTCGTTAAGTGGCCTGTTTCTATACGAAAGTGATTTGAATAGTTATGCAGAGCGACTGTCTGGAAATTGGGATCGCTTCATGCATGTTGAGTTTTCATGCATCCAAAGAGTCCTGAAGAGACCCGAAGAAATGCTCCAACCCAACTTGATATGATATTATTAATAATTAATCTTCGCGAGAGACCATTAGAAGCAGGCAATGTGGGGGATTCGCATAAATTTTCTGCGGTCGGCCGAAAGCGAATATGCAGATGCTGAAAAATGCAATCGCCTTAACTTAGTTGCGCCCGGTATTAATGAGGATGAAGCTCTGGGGAAGCGGGCGTCTTAATTTGTCACAATTTTCCACAAAACTAAGATGAGTTTTACGAGAAAGCCGAGCGGAACATCGTAAGCACTAATAATGGCCTAGAGAGTAAAACACGGGCAATATGCGTCCTAACAGAGAAAACCTGGGGAGAATCGTAATAAATTCGCCCAAAACTTGTTTAAGAACTTTTTTAACATAGTGGGTGGCGCATATTAAATCGTTAACTCAAATGTCTGCATATTGTTGCGAGCTCTTTTATTGAGTTTAGTAGGGCAACTTTGGGGCAAAT